CTCGATCTACAATCTCTAAGGTCTAAATATATTTCATCTACCATGTGACATAATCACTCACAATCGATCAGCATCATTTTCGTAGCTAACATTCTTAAAGGTGAATGCATGTGCAAAGAGATCATCATATCCGGTATCAGTAGGAATTCAACCCAAAACATCTGCAAGACATGTTTGCAATCCCATTCGCCATGATCCTCTGTTCATTTTAGTCTTTCTAGTCGACAGATTCTTCTCATATTGTCCAGTTTACCACCACAGTGTGATAAAGTTGTTAAATGCATTTATAAATACGTTTTCAGTAGCCAAATTTATCAATTTTTAAATTGTTTTCTTAACAATTCCAAACATGTCTCAATCTCTTTCTCGCAAATAAACTACAGACCTTTGACCATCACAAATGGCCATCAATCTCATTTGATCCTCTTTCTTGTCAAACAAGATGATTGTATAAGACTTTAAGTTTGACGATCAACCGAAAGATTGAGAATCTTTCACTACAATATTCAAAACAAGTTTCCTGTGATGTATTAGCTTCACTTGTTGACTCCATTAATTGTCTCTGAACTAATACTTCTAAAGTTTACAAGCATTTTCCATTGTCATAAACTTGTAATTATGGCTCCACAAAAGACATCTTGAATGAGTACTTAATTTACGATCCTTGATCCTCAACAACAAGCTAAGGTTGTCATCTTTTCCGATCATCTTCGACACACCCATTGAAGAACCAAACCAGATTCCTAAATCTTTGATGCCAACTGACTATCTTAGGTTTTAGTTGGTGAAGAACAAGAGAAAAAGGGAGGAGACAGGCAACAGAAGATAAATAAAATAGACCGACTAGTTCAGTAATCGCTTGTAAGGTAAGAAATATAAAAGAAAATCCTACATCAGGTTGTACAGAAGCTAAAAATATGTCATCACCCACAGAATCTAATAAATGGATTTACTGTAGAAACAAAAAAGATAAGCAACTCTGATTCGACAGAAATGCCATGAGAGAACACAAGATAAAAATCCTCTAACCATCTAAATTCACCAAGTTAATCTACTCCTCGAAATGCTCCTCCATATATTAGTGAAACACATCAATTGGTATGATATACAACTAATGCAGTTTCCATCGGCTAAACAGGAAAAGGGAAAAAAAAAATCCTTCATAAGAATCAACCATCACTAAATCATTGCGAGCGAATCAGATGAAAGATACTCGAATACGAGGAGGACAGACTTCTGAACCGACCAATGCAGCCAATGCTCCACAGATCTCAGCAGAAACGGAGCTCTCCAGCAGATCCACATCGAGGAACAGCCGTTCACCGACATTTAAAAAAGAGAGGAAAAGAAAAAGAGAGGACGCGCTTACTTTTGCTGTCGGTGGCTGAAGAGAAAGAGGAGAGGAGGAGCAGAGAGGCCGCTAGAACGCAGGCGGAGATCTCCATTGCCTGATCCGTGCAGCTGCTTGTTCTACCTCTCTGTTCTTTGGGTGTCTTGTGCTATAATATTGCAGCTGGCTTCCGGAGATGACACTGCCAAGCTTTGGACAGCGGCGTGTGAGAGCCCACAGCTTACCAACTTTCTTGGTTGCTTTCCTTATTAATCCTTTAAATCTTTGGAATTAACTATCCAACCCTCAATTCTCCCAAAGATTAATTAATTATTATTTTTAGTATTTCGATCTTTATATTCTTTTTAAAAATATAAAATATCTGTAATTACGAAAATATAGAATTAAAAAATATAAATATATATATATATATATATATATATATATATAAGAGTTTTATTACAACTGCTATCAATCTTTCTTGTTTTCTAGTTGATAAGGTCATTTAGAAATATGAAAACCAAGGGTTCATAAGTCCGTCAGATCTTTCTTACCTTTAGAAAAGTCTTTTGAAGCTCACATGCTCTTAAAGGATAAAATCGTGAGAGTACACTCTAATGGTTGATCGACTAAATGGTCCCTTATCAGATTGGCGCTAGAAGGAGGGCCCGATGCTTACACCTCGACCGAACAAACTCGCTCCCGAACCATGCATCTTCGCTATGAACCCTTGGCCGTACCAATGATCGATCGACCAAATAATCCCTTATGAAAGAGAAAAAACTATTGCATTACAAATATTCTCCGTTGATTTCCCAACATGGGTTGGGATTCCTTTCTTCACTGCCTGTTCCAAACCTTCCTTTACAGCCATGGTTAGGAGACCTTGCTAGAGTTAAAGCTACAGTTATCTAACTATGTTGTCATAGAATTACAACCTGTTTTTTTTTTTCCACATTAACAGAAGAAAAATGTGATGGTTTCACCGACGACTTTGCAAAAAAAAATTCCAAGTAGAAGTCATCCAATCCCCATCTGAACATATAGATTATTAATGTAGTGATTCATAGTAGGTAAAGTGTTGACCCCTAAAACATATTCTAGAATAGATTCGAGTGAGACCAAATGAGATTGAGACAGAAGAACATGAATGATTAATGACTACAATTAGTCTGCTCTTGTGCTGTTGACGAATTTATATAGACATCAAGAATTAATTGCAGGCTGGAAATTACAGAACCTAATCGTACATAGTTCAATCGACCAAAGAACATGTGACAAAACAAGATGTTTCTTTATTGCATGCCATGCAACCTGTTGCTCTTCTAGTGGATGTTATAATAGTCTGCCTTTTTCTTTCCTTCCACAAACAAATTGCAGGGTTTTTTTTCTTCTTCTTTGCATGCATTACGATTTCCATGTAATTCGAAAGCTACGCTTCTCCTTGCGTGATTTTGAGGTCCCAACCAACTCTCAGTGACGTTGAAGCACTAAAGTAGTCCTTCCACCGACTCTCAGGTCCCAACCAACGCAAAGGTTGTTCTTCAAGCTACCCGTCTTGCACCGTAAATAATAATAATGATCAACGTTTGAAAAAATCTCTAACTTTTGATATTTGATGTAGAATGCTTCAAGTTTATTTTTTTTTGAAACGATGCTATATTTCTTTTTTTTAAATGACCATTTTTATTGTTCTCCATTGCGTCTCTACCTCGTCAGTCAATCCCCTTCGTCTTACTCTTAAATATATTACTAATATTCTCCAAATTAAAATATTAAAATATATCTATCAGCTATCTATCAACCGGAAGAAGCAATCGTTGGTCGTCATCTTTTTAAATTATTTCGATTGGTAAACTATAATATTAAGTTGATTGAATAAATTATCATGTAACTCATGATAATATCTTCAACTTGCAAATAATTGTCACTTCTTCGAGTTCCATTTTGACTATTCGGGTTTACTTGACTTTCGTTATTCTTTTACGACATCATCAATTTATTACTATATAATAAAAAAAATAAAAATATTAACTAGTTATCTAAAATAAAATAACAAATTATGTGTTTGATCGAAGATAAATACATCTGCTTGCCTTGTAGTTGGTAACTTAGATCATATGATTCTATTTAATTATGTAAGATATATTATAGATATGATTGAATTCTGATTATGGGTATTCACCGATAGAAAAGAAATTCATATTATAATAGAATTCCTTAAGGGATGTCTTTGATGGAAGAACGCTCTCGCCTATAAATAGACAGGATGAGCTATATATATGCATCTCAACTTTTTTCTCTCAATCTCCCTAATACATTAATCTAAGTGGTCAAACGAAAGAAAAAGTGTCTAGTTCTCATTGCAGATTGATATCTCAGATCTGATAATACATAATTCATCAATCTAAGTGGTCCAACGAAAAGAGGGATATCTAGTTTTCCTTACAAATTAATATCTCAGATCCGATACTAGGAATAATAAAAAATAAAATATTAACTAGTTATCTAAAACAAAATAACAAATGATATGTATGATGGGAGATAAATACATCAGTAGGTGATCTCCCATAGGGGTTGCCTCATCAGCTACCAGCTTACCTTCGTAGTTGGCAACTCAATAGTTGATGAACTGTATGGATTAGCCATGCCTACAGTACAGGTTGTACAAGAGTTGTAAAGTAATATAGCTTTTTCCTTCTTGGGAAGCAAAAAAATGCTTGCCTTTGCTTACATCTAGACCATCGTAACAACCCTTCAAAAAACCTTCTCTGATGACATCAGATCATGACTCAGTTGCTTTGAAGATAGAGCATTTGCATACCTGAAACTTCTTGGGAACATGAATCTTTAATGCCTCCGAGATTCAATTAGATAATGTCAATGTAATTTTCCTGTAACATTTCATATCATCCGTGGAATTTCTGTCTCGTATGGTCAGAAATGCCATGGGGAAGAACTGCGCAAGGAGCGAGATGGCGATGATGATGGACCCGATCAGCAACCCTCACGTCGCTCACCCTGACGTCCTCCGACGACCTGAATCCGAGAAAAGCATTTTCATCTAAGAAACCCTATAGATAGAGATTTCGAGCGATCGAGAAAACGGGGGAGGCGGAGAAAAAGGGGGAAGGATTTTGACGCCGGTGACGGATTCTTCGAGGAAATGCTTGACGGAGTGGTGATCGAGGAGATTAGACTTCTTCGCCGCGCCGCTTGTCGCCATCGCCTGGTGCTCTTCCGGTCTCTCTCCGCCAGAGTTTGGCGCACTTCCGAGTTTGTTTAGGCAGGTAAATGAGGACACCATCTAAATACCTAATTAACCTCTCTTAATTTTGACGGAATGGACAAATCAATTCAAAATCGTTGACCTATCTCAACTCCTGTTCCAATTGGAATCACACATATGAAAGAATGAGTTTTTTCTCATATTATTTACCGACATATTGCTTGTCCTATAGCAGATTAAATGCAACATTTTCTTCTATATTTTTTAATTAAGTACAACATAAAACTCTAATCTACCTATACTATTAGAAGCAAAGCATGATTAATATTTAAACTCACACTACACTGAAAATTCCATATATATATATATATATGTATATATATATATATCGCGTTAATTACATTTTTGGATGAAAAAAAATAAAACAACATGCAAGAAAAATTGAAACAGACAACGGAAAAGGGCATTTACCATTTGATTTTGTACTCGTGTGGTAGGGAGTGGAATACATGGCAATCATTGCCTGATTACAGAGCAGAAGACATCGAATTTACACCAATTTTAAAGCACGAAGAAGGAAAAGGACATACCTTGATCATCGAGCATCGGGCGATTGGAATTGGATTCTAAATTATCCAATTTCCCCCAATTGCCCGATGGAATACTTTAATCCACGGAACTGTAAGAACTCCGATTCCCAATTCAAAGCATCACAAAGAAGCAGCGGAGTAAAGCTTCTCCGCCATCCGCCGTTCGCGTCGCTCCAACTTCCCCAGCTGCGATTTCTTGAAGACCAGGAATGCCCCCAGCGCCACCTGCAGCGCCACAGCGACGGCCAGAAACGCCAACCCCACCTTCTCTCCGAGATTGAGCCGCTCGGGGTTCCCGGACCGCGATGCACCCACCCCCGTCGGGTGCTCCCGGTGGCCGTCATTGTTACCGGGAAGCTGCGGCGGAGGGTCAGCAGCCGTCGGCGACGGCAGCGTGCGACGAGGAGACGGGAATGGCGACGGCGAGGGAGAGAGGTGGGAGTAGGGATAAACGGCGGGGACGAGGAACGGGAAGAGGAGGAGCAGGACCATGGTTAGAGATCGCAGCTCCATGGAAAGCGGGGAAGGAGATCAGAGTTTCCGACCGAGGGCGGCCTTGCCCCGCCTCCTTCCGGCAGGTGTGGAACCACATAAATTTGGAGGGGAGAGAGAGGAACGGGGAATGGAAGTGCTTCTGTTTCTGGTATGTGTTCTCTCTTTTTTTTCTTTTGTTTTTTGCTCGAATAAATAAAGAAAATAACGGAATAACGCGTCTGTTATACTGTAACGCGTGTACCGTTGGAAGCATGTGGCAGTTCGATCCTATTTACGGCCGTTTCGGTCTAAGAATGGGATACGTGCCCTCACCAACCTGCCCAAGAACTAAAATTAATCTGATTTGGAGAACCATAAATAATAAAAATAACACTCCGAAATGAACTATTATTTCACATTTTAATGATTAAGAATTAAATTAAATTATATTTGGAATTTTTTATATATGATCAGCCTTATTTCTTAGTTAGAAAAAAATAAAATTTGGCAAAAATAAAATCATACCAAGTTAATTAGTACATAGTAGATGATATGATCATTATTTTTTGATAAATTAGGATCGAAAATTATAGTGTAATCAGTATCTATTAGATGTTCCATGTTAATTTTCAAAGATACACAAATAACCTATTAGATATGTCATATAAGCATGACACCTAAAGGAAATATATCTTCACCAATTACATGATAATACGATTTATACTATATAAACAAGTAAAGAAGTTTCTCTAAATATGTCTTCATTTCTGAACTCATTGTATAGGCTTACAATTATTTTGTGCATGCAACCAACAAAACAAGGTTAAATGGGATTAATATATTTTGATACAAATCATGCAATATTGGTTCAAATGAAATGCTGATAAAACATAAAATCTTTCCCGAGAAAAGAATTTTTTTTTAGAAACAAATATACATCCGATTATTCTTAATTCGTTTATGATTGCCTTTTTTTTCTTCTTAATAGTCGTATTAATTTGCTCCGAAATTCTCCAAAAAAATAAATAAAAAAACCTTCGAAATCGAACGAAATCATCACGCGTGATTTATTATGCATAATGTGTACGGCTACGATCGTCTCAACTCCAATCGTCCATTTAATCCCTCTATTCATCATCAATCTTTTCTAACCGTCCGATCCTTACAATAAACCACTATTTAAGGCCCCCAAGCTGAGCTTATTTGCCTCCTCTAGGGTTTCACAGAGAGCCAACACCGCTACACCATACGAAGAGCGGCGGCGAGTTCGTTCCCCCTCGAATAACCTCCGAGATGGCAACCCAGATGAGTAAGAAGCGAAAGGTCTCGAATCTTCCCATTCAAATGCCTTCCTTCCCACGATTTGGCTTCTCACCCGAGCTTGCGATTTTATTTTGTTTGCCTTTTGATTTTTTTCCCGTTTCTCGCAGTTTGTGGCGGATGGGGTGTTCTTCGCGGAGTTGAACGAGGTGCTAACGAGAGAGTTGGCGGAGGATGGCTATTCGGGTGTGGAGGTTAGGGTTACGCCCATGCGTACCGAGATCATTATTCGGGCGACGCGCACACAGAACGTCCTTGGTGATTATGTCTTTATTTTTTCCTGATTTTTATCCAATTATTTGGGCTTGGAAAGGTGTTATTTAGTGTCTGATGCTTTTCTGGTTGGGGTTTAGGTGAGAAGGGAAGAAGGATCAGGGAATTGACATCGGTGGTGCAGAAAAGATTCAACTTTCCGGAGAATGGCGTTGAGCTCTACGCCGAGAAGGTGAACAATAGGGGGCTCTGTGCCATTGCTCAGGCTGAATCGCTCCGTTACAAGCTTCTTGGCGGCCTTGCCGTTAGGAGGTTGGGTTCTCATTCACCCTTCATTAAGTTTGTTGAAAATAGCCATCTTTATTGGCTTGATATTAACTATGTAGTATGCATGTATTATCCCTTCAAATTTGTCTTTTATAATCGTTATTAGTTATGATGATTATGTTATAAATTTTCCAAAGATTGAGGATGTCTTTATATGATATACCATTAGATTATTTTGATAACTGATTTGTTTTACAACTCGTCACTGCGTGTTGCTAGAGTTTAGTCTAATTGTTAAGTAGCATTTAAAAGTATAACTTGGTGTTAGACCAGGAAATGATAATGTAGGATTTCAAGCGCCTGTCATCTATAAAGCAAATAGGTCATTCAGTACCAACTTTGTGTCGGAACGTGACAATAACAAGATTGCCATGGATACAGTTAGGATCATGACACTTCTTAGTTTCATGGCAGAAAGCTCCTGGCTACATGTTTCGTATTTATTCAATCATTGAAGCCACTTCTTAAGCTTGTCATATTTCAGTACTTGTCTTGTTCAATGAGTATTGTAGGAAATTTGTTTTACCTTGCACTGTCATGAACATGCTGAGGGATTATGATGTTACCATGTGCTGATATGAATATATATTCATATATGCTACCCTTAGTCGCTATATCTTTTTATGTTATGTGTTTTGTCAGCTGTTTCTTTACAAATTTTAAGTGTCCATGTGAAGCTAAATTAATGTTTAAATATGTTATTTACTGTGACACTTTGTTTCCTCCTAAATGGGTGACAAGGGTTTGAGTCTCAGGGAAAAAAGATTCTAGGAGTAAGGTTGTGCACATCAATCTTCCCCAATCTTGGTATTGGCTGGAGCCTTGCCACCAAGTCTGTTTTTAGTGTTTTTTATTATTGTCATCTATAAAGCAAATAGGTTACTCATTACCAACTTTGTGTCGGAAGGTGACAAAATCAAGATTGCCATGGATGCAGTTTAGTTCATGATAATTTTTTGGTCTCATGGCATAAGCTCCTGGCAAAATTTGTGCTGATCATTTCTGGACCTTTTTTTAAATTTTCTCGTGGTTTTGATTTTTGAACCTTTCAATATTATTTTTTGTATAGATATTTGAATTTAATTTTCTCAAATAAAAGAAAAGCTAGTTGGATCATTATACAATATCTTTCAACTTTGATGGGTATAAAAAGCGATCATATATTTTTCAGCAGTAGCATTGGATCTGTGTTTGTTTGATACAATGCTAATTTATTGCTGAGCCAATGCTGTGTGTGTGTGGTTGTGTGTGTGATTACATAGCTTTGTTTTTTTATTTTACACTTACTATTTTGCTTTATGTTTCTGAATGTGATTATTGTTTGTTTTCTTGATTTCTTCTGCTGTGAATATTTTTTCATCCTGGTTATTGTTTTGTAACTAATTGAGCATTTGTTATTGTTCATTCTGCTGCTGGGCAGTGTATGCTCTGATGGCTCGTCTTGATGCTCATAGAATGAGTTATGGAGTTTGTCAGGCTTCTTGTATCTTGTATGCTTGGAGTTTGGAATACGCTCCAACATATCTTTGCTATATTGGTATTAAAGTGGCTAATTGATAAATTTTAAAATCTATTTAGACTGACTGATGTTAGTTGCCAATATCTGCCATCCTTGTTTTTGGGGTTAATATGATTGGTCGTATTATCTAGAGATAACTGCCTTTGGTTTTCTTTTCTGTCTCATTTCTGCTTTACTGGTTTCTTTTTTGTTTGAACAAATCTCATTTTGTGTCGTTCAATGTATGATCGATGATAAAAAAGAAGAGAAATCTAATTGTTTAGTACTATTAGTTGCTGTATCACTTGAGATTTTGTCCTTTTTTTTCTATGAAATTGCTGAAAATTTTTTTAATCTGCTTTTTGACCTGTCTTATCTGTGACATGATTTTCTGTATTTATAGTGCCTGGTAATATGGTTTAGTCATGATCTTGAATTATGCGTAATATTCATTTGTAATTGTGAACTTCAAAGGTTATGATTGTCAGCTCCTTGGAGTGTGTAATTTATGAAGAGGCTTTTGGAGTTAAAGTTGTCTGATATTTTTATGTATCGTTCTAGGGCCTGTTATGGTGTCCTGAGGTTTGTCATGGAGAGTGGTGCAAAGGGGTGTGAGGTATGTTTTCGAACTAAAGCAGCAGTGAGGTTTCCTATGGACATTGGAGATTTATTCCTTGATATGTTGTAGGTAATTGTAAGCGGAAAGCTCAGGGCTCAGCGTGCCAAGTCCATGAAGTTCAAGGATGGGTATATGATTTCTTCTGGTCAGCCGGTCAATGAATATATTGACTCTGCAGTGAGGCATGTTCTCCTAAGACAGGTGAGCTTCTAAGATTTAATGTTTGCATCTTTCACTTTGCACGATCAAGCTGTCGATCTATTTCCTACTTAATGTCCATCCTTGCAGAAGAAACTAGTAGGAAGTTTTTAAGATGTCATACTACCTCTTTTTTTTTTATTTTCTTTGTCAATTCTATTATGTTATCTACTATGGTAATATTTACTACACTAAATATTAGTTGTTGACTCAAAGTTTCTGTTCTATGGTCTGTTTTAACAAATAGCCGATATAATATTGTATTCCTGCAACGCTGTGTTGTGTCTTGCACAGGGTGTTCTCGGAATCAAGGTCAAAATTATGTTGGATTGGGATCCAAAGGGAAAGCAAGGTCCTACTACGCCTCTGCCAGATCTCGTCACCATTCATCCACCAAAGGACGAAGATGAATATGTCAGGCCAACACCAACTTTGGCTCCAGAGGTAGCCATCGTCTGATGATCCCTGGTTTGCTGGGGTATAATGGTTCTGGGAAGAGGTCTCTTTTTGCTTTCAAAAACAAAAAAAAGTTTAGCTTTTTTGGTCTATTTTGCAGTCTGAAACTTGTTTTACTATGTTTTCTTCCTAACCAATGTTGGTTTGATGGTTGAATTGCATTCTGTTCTTTTTTTTTTTTAACTTGCTATGGGAAAGAAATTGATTTGTAGCTGTGACGTTTGTTATATATCTTGATGCTGTTGCATGTTTAGCTGTTCACTTGAGACAGGAATTAGTACGTGGATGCTGCGATTTTGATTTTTAAGTAACATTAGGGACTGGACTGATAGGTTACCCCAGAAAGGTTTACGGATTTCTTTAGGTAATAATGTGAATGGTAAAGATATAATATGTTGATTCAACTCGTGTTACCTAAAATATGTTGGCTCGACCCAGACTTTGAATTTTGATTCCTATGCGGACTAAGAATTATTTTGCCAGGGATAAAAATAAATCAGCGAGTGAGAGAAAAGATGGATTGGGGGAGAAGAGAACAAAGGTTGATCCTTCTTATTTGCCAAAACGGGTGCACAAATCACTTTCGTCGATATCGAAGCAGAAAGTATTGTAATTCTATTCATAAATAGTGTAATACTACTGGACCGATTAACCCATTACAAAGAGGAGGAGCTGTTCGTGAGAAATATAAAAAAAAGAAAAGAAAGAGAAAACCCGAAACTTGAGATTTTCTTGAGAAATAACCCTAAAAGAATCATAGAATCATGGTAGATATACTTCTTTTGCACCATTATCAATTTGTTTGAAAAAGCTTCCTTTAATGTGACTTGTATTCCAATAGTCTAACTAATGTACCACATTTTAGCAACAAAGATGTGTACCCAAATAAAATTCTCATAGCTTCCACAATCTTTCTAACTAAGTAATAGACACAAATAATTGTGAGCTCCACAAATAAACATTTAAACGAAGGACAATATGATTGTTCATGAATATGATTTTTTAACTAAAAACGAAGGGCAATAGATGGATTTTTAACTCTATATTTCCGTACATAGCTAAATAACAACTCTGTTTAATCCAAAAGATAAAAGCAGCATGCATGAAAGAACGGATCTATATGTTACATAATTAATTAGAATACTTGATACACGAATAAACAAGGTATCCTGAGATCAGTCTGCAAACTGCCCTACCTGAGCTAGTAGAACCAACGAGGAGTTCCAGTACAAATTTTCAGAGTTAACTATGCATTAGTAATTTCTGCATTACGAGCGATGGTTGTGTAATGCCTGCAGTTTACGTAAACTGCAACTTCTCTACAAAGCTTTACAATGTTGTCACGGTTGCTAAGATGCCAACCAAGGGAAAACGAGAAGCTTAATGTGGCGTTCTTGCCATTGCTGGTTTTACGTGGTCCGCATCCTCTTGTTGCTGCACCATGGACACTTGTAATTCTTGATGTGCTCAGCCTTTGCAGGGGTGACCTTCACGCACTTCCCATGGAACCACTTCTCACAAGTATCGCAGAAGATCCAGAAGTTATCTGGTACAGAGCTCTCGCCGCATGCCGCACAGAGATAATTGTCTTCATCGTCCTCCTCGATTAAGTCTTCGTCCTCTTCCTTGGCATGCTTTGCTTTTGTGTTCTTGGCCTGATATTCTGATGCCTTCTGCAAGATCCCAACAGAACAAGCGGCTAACTTGACTATATATTGTGAAACCTTAAATGGTACATTGTTTTTGCTAACATATGTGCCGAATTCCCACTTTTTGTCAATTCAGCAGAGAAATGCAAAATGCCAAAATCTCTAATCCTAAGAAACAAGAAGTGATATTTGTATTAAGGTCATCACAAGTTTGCTTTTCATGTAAAGTGATCCGATAAACGCCAGTTCCCTTCAGTGCTTCACTGGGGAGTTTGTTACCACTTCATGTACAGTGAGAAATGCACCTAAGCCATACGGAGGCAGGTTAGGAAAGCCATCATTTAGTGGTACGAGCAATCCTCGAAAAAGGTGTTTAAGGCAGCAATAAAGAAACTACTCGGTTTTAGTAATGCTTAAACAAGAGTCTCTTGCATTTTTTTGTACCAACTGATTAAATCATCTTTGGATAACAAAACCATGTAAGATCTTGCACTCCTCCAGCGAAAAGCAAACAGTATACGACCATACGTTATATCAAGGAATCAAATACCACACTCTGTTATATCTTATATATGGCATATATGCTAGTCTAGCATACAAGAAATGTAATGTCATGATTGAGTGGAACGAAACTTCCCAATTAAAATCTCCTTTGCATGGTCAACAAGTAAAATGGAAGTTTTGAGTCTTCAAAAAAGAAAACATCTGAAATTTTCCTCACCAATTTGGAATTTGATTTGGACTTGTTACTGATGTTTTTAGAACCAGAGGACTTCTCTTGATTCTTTCCACTTACAATTTCGCATAAGGTAGGCAGATCAGTTACCATATCCAAAAGGCTTTTCCTGCATCACAGAAAACAAAGCAAATTTCTTTTATGGCTTCTTATAAAAAATAAATAAACATCATCTAATTAGAAATAAGGAGAAAGCAGCACCATTTTTAATGAAACGGTGAGGGGAGAGAGAGAGAGAGAGAGAGAGAGAGAGAGAGTTACCACATATAAAAATGGAAGAAAGAGTAAGATTTGCACAATTTTGAGAAGTATTTTACTAGGCTATTAGAGACAATCGGAAAGTGTGTCATTAGGAGTTAAAGAGAAATATAATCTGTGCCTTTCTCTGAAGATGGATCTTATGCACTATATCTTACCCATGCATTTTCACAAATCCGACATGAAAATTTGCTTAAATTTTTGTAAACTCCTCAATGAGGAATAAAACAATAAAACTACCTTCTTACATGATGAACAATCCTAGCACAAAATAGACATCCAGAGCAAGAATGTTAAGATGGATTAAGAGGGAAAGGCACAGGGGATGCTCAGATTAATTAAAGAGCGAATTCTTAGATTTAAGTGATCAACATAAATTCCACAAATCCATGCTGGAAACAATAATGTGATTTAAGTGGTCAATGTAATGTTTTAGGCAGGAGGCACAGTGAGCACCAACTATAACAGTAGGATATATGAAGCAAACAGACGGCCACAATCGATTAATTTCTTCAAATGTCTCTAGAAAGGAAATAACAATATTTCTTTAAACCTAAGAAGTTCCTTCAGGGAATTTGATTTGTCTGAACCTACTGAACTTAAGTGAAAATTATAGATCATTTCAAATGAGTACAAAATAGGGGCCTAATATGTTATCAAGCAATGGAGGATGCTTATATAACAGCATATATTCCAGTTTGTAGTGAACATAGTTTATTAATGAAATAACATAATAAAACTTAGAGTCTAGTTAGTTACAGAAATTAATTCATCCAGGTCTTCTTTCAAATGATCATATTCTTTACAACAAATTGGACATTAATATTAATAAAGAAAGATATACAGGACAACTCAGGTTAACACTACAAGAAGATACAAATAATTTATTACCAACATGACTTGAGCAAATTGAAGTGAAAAAACTAACAAATCAGAATCAAATTTATGTTGTATAACAAAGTGATATCTCTGGGCACCAATGCAAGAAGACAAAGGTGTTTATAATTTTGTCCCATTTCCTAGCCAGACGATCAAATGGCATACAGTCCCTATGTATATATTCCAACCATGATGGCTCCTTCCATCCTCCCCCACATCCTAGACTGAGTGCCAAACACCTAAGCCTGTCGTGACCTTGGCAAATCAATAAACTGACCTAAGTGACCTCTTATTATAAATAGTAAATGCATGTGGAGCAATATGTATGCTCCTTATAATAAAGGCTAGAAAGGACAAAAGATTTAGGTGTGTACTGGTAGAAAAACGACGGAGTCTAGGAGCATAAAAAGACCAAATTAGATAGAGATGATGAGTGTATGGAGAGTACATATCACTCTCAGAAATGGTCTTTATTTAATCAGATTATTAATGAGTATGGTAAGTGTTTGCTTTTCTGTTTCAATGGTCCTGTACTACAAAAGAATAAACATAGCACAGAAAATCAGGAGGAAGGCACTTTCAGAAACTCTATATCTTCATCACAGCTCAACAAATTCTGGTATATTGTAAAGCTAAAAATAATATAATGCTATATTTTTTCTTATCTCACTCTATAGTTAAACAACCTCAGAAGCATGAACATTCTTAATGTGAAAGGCAATTTTAGGAACTATACAAAAAGCAGAACTGGCCGTAAAGGTTATTTATTGAAGACGAGCAAGTTTAATAATTGAAAGCAATTGTGCATATAAGGAAGCTTGGTATAGTCACCTTTACAAACTCATCAACTTTGGGTAATTTTCATGTTTGAACCATTACAGTAGTAGATGCAGCCCCATGTACTTATGTAGGCTCCCGTCAATGTGGGGTTTGGGGAGAATCAATATATTCAGTCTAGAGACTATTTTTTCAACTCAATCAAATGAAACTACTGTAGATTACTTGACTTTCTGAAAGAGAATGCACCTAAATTCCATAGGCAATCTATTCATCAGACCTTTTTATAATTGATAAAGAATTTTACTTAAAAGAGTAGCAATCAAGTAATATGTTTCTATAAAACTTGCTAAAGAACTGGGGACGTCAGGAATTGTTATTCTTGAGGATCAACATTATAAATTCACCAAGAACAATTGTTTGCCGGTTCACCATCTGATTCATAGAAACTACAACTCACCAAGAAGATGAACAATTGTCCATCTCACAGTGACAAGAAGATAGATTTCATAGAAACTACAATCACCTCTAAACTACAACTCACCAAGAAGATCAACGTTCTAAACTACAACTCACAGTGATAAGAAGATAAATTTCATATTTCACAGAACAACAACTTAACAAAGTTCTAAATTCTCAGACCAAATTCAGCTAGAACTGAAAAGTAGTTAACAAAAAAGTACTTGAAAGTAATTTTGTTTTTTAATGAAAGAAGCAATCAATAAATTGCATCTTTACTCACCTCTGTTTTTTATCAAACTGAAATCTACCACCAAAATAAGATGCTAAAGCAAGCAACCATGCATCACTGTGTAAAGCAACCAAGGATAACCAGGATTTCTTTTCCATTCCATCTCTAGCAAAATTAATACCCAAAACAGGTTCCGGAATCTCTGGAGGAACTTCATCTGAAGGCAGATCAACCTCCCACTGCTCAGTGGGAAAACCATAGAGACACAGATTTTCTTTTGCTGCAATAAAGTAATATTTGGTTAAAATCTACAACCATGCAAAACATATCGAATACAATCAGTGAACTCGTGGGCAAGATTATGAAAGTCAACTAGCTTCCCAATATTCTCAACACTAACACTATATTGTATCCGTTGATTGTTTATGTTTAAATTGCTGTTTAGAATAAACTTCTTACCAAAATGCTAAGAATAAAATATAAAGCCGGATAAAAGTAAATCGGTGTTGCAAATCAGTGTTGCTCCTGTTTAGTGGACAATAATGTAGAAGAATTTATTGTTCAAGAATGATGCCAGAATATGTAATTCAATGTTGCTGGCTCTTCAGGGTCTTCTGTTGTCATATCAGTAATCATGTCAACATACACAATAGTAGCAATGAGCCATATTTCCAGATTATAAAGTCGGCTACTTGGATCTTGTCACAAAAGGTAAGGTAGGGAGAAAGAAAGAGTGTGTGAGGGGGGAGTGAGAAAGAAAATTAGAGAGAGAGAGAGAGAGAGAGAGAGAGACACACACACACACACACACAGAGCATGAGAACAAGAGAATAGAAACAAAAGAATAAAAATAAAAAAACATAGCCTTCATTTACAGATGTTAAAAACAGAGATTTTAGATACCAACTGGAAACTTATCATCTGGTATAACGTGGTATCATGTTGTTTACCATCCGATAAGTCTGACACAATGAGCCTACTTGGTATAGTCCATATCCTAAACTGGGTAAAATCATGTAGTCATCATCCCGCTTGGCTATTGAATTGGTAGGTAATGATCCTTGCTTGCCATGGTGCGGCCCCTCTCAATCGAAACAGATCAATGCAAGATAATATGCATGACCAAAAAGGAAACCACCGTAGCTGGTCCTTGTTCAGGATGAACCAAACATATAGGGCCGATACAATTCCTACAAACCCCAAAATAGTAAAATTTGATTAAAATACTCAAAAAGCTGATAGGAGAAGATGATAATACCTAGGATATGCTTTCTTATTGGCTAGTGAATCGTAGACTGATTTCATCATTAATTTTAGTAGCTACAGAAAGCTGATCTAATCATATTCTGAGTCTTTGATGCATGATTCCTAATATGATTATGGTCCAAAATAGATGGGTTGTTTAACTATTAGGAAAGCATTTGGAGAAAATCCATAGGTCCCTTTTGGTGGGATTTTGAAGGAAGAAAAGAGGATGTAAACCTAAGGGGTCACATATGTTTTGATTATTTTTTTAGTTGAAAGATTGAGGCATTTTCTCCTTGAATTAGAAAAATGTTTGTTTTGGACACTCTCCAATATTATTCATCTTCCATAATGTCCATGGAGATCTATACACTGCCATTGCCATACCCTCTCAACCACAATCATTACTCCATGGATTTCCTTCATTTGGGTATACTTGAGGAATATAATAAATACATCATGAAGGATCTTCCTGTGAAACTTTGCATAAAACCTCCAATGAATTTATAACAATTTTAATGTTGTAGCAGACTATGTTGTACCTGTATTATGAATTTTCTTAAAATCTGCATGTGTTAACAAGCTTCCCAAGAGAAATAAACTAGTTTGAGGTTTTTCAAGTCCTCATTTTCAACAATGTCAAAAGACAATTTTCCTTCCATACTACCTATGTTGTTCTCAAATTTCTCTAACAGAAAGAAATTTGAGAACAACAAATTCATAATACAGGTTGAGAAAGTCATTACATAATTCACATCATTTTGAAAAATGATGTGATTATCATAAAAGGAAAGCTTTTTTCTACAAAGAAATTTGTTCTTCCACAAGACCTCTGAGGTAGCTATGCAATATGAAAAAGAGGATGTAAGCCCAAGGTTTCATGCTTAAAGTGTGGCCATTAGTGTTAGTTCTTGAATATTACTGTTAGCTTTAATAATTTCATAAAGAAAATTCACAGCATAATGCATATAATAATATCTAGTTATTGACAATGGGCATTATGAAATATGCCCTCCGACTTCTTATCCCATCAGAATCATGAATGCTACCAAAAAAACCAACCAAGTAAACAGTAGCAAATACTGGTAATTAGAGCCTCTTCTATATAAAATACTTGTGCATGGCAGGTAGCCACAAAATAAAAGATGAAAGGGGACACATTGCTCTAGATGGAAAAGATACTATTGATTATGGCAAATTGCATGCCTATGTTAACAAAACCCTATAAACTACCAAAAATATCCATATATAAAAGCTTGTCACAACACATGAAGTTATTCAACTTCTTTAGTATGGACATGAATAAGCACTTACAAGCATGGTTGTATGACAATAATTAATGGCTCTATAACTTCATAAGCAACAAAAAAAAAGGGCAGACTGTTGTTTGGCTGAGATTCTAGAGACTAGATATTGCTTTCTTAATTGTAAAATTACTACGATCTTAAGAAACCATCATGATCTTAAAACAGTAATATGACCATCGTCGTAGTCACATTGGTGATACCTTATTAGTTGATGACAATAAATTGAAGTTGAGCAAAGTGTCCGATAAGTACAAATTACACAGTGCCAATAGCTAAGCCTAGGAAGCAACAATAAGTATGATCAAATATGCTTTGTTCTAATTTTTTCCTTCAATTTTGAGTCAATGATGTGAATCTCTTCCATTCAAACACCCGATGGAATGTAACATGTATAATGATATTATATTTATAGTCTACCAAAATGAGAAAAGGTATTGATGGGTGCAGCATGTCTGTCACTCCCTCTCAGCTGAAGGTCTCAAATGTAGGCCGCATGCTCATCTCATTTTAACAGTACCAACTCCCTTTTCATTCAATGTTGCTCACATGCTTCCCAACCATCTGATTCTAAGCACAAGCCCCATTGACCACGACTCTCATTTTGTTTATGAACAAGCCCCTTCGTGACATGTTGTGTGGTCCTATTTATCCAATCATTGAATTTAACAAACCTTAAGTTAGCATATGGATAACAAAAATGGACCCATTTGTTAGTCCAAATTATGATGTGGGTTTATTATTCTGTATGTGATAAATTTTTTTCAGATTGACTTTCTATCTTAATCTAATTTGTACAATCAAAATGCCATGTCTTAACTGGATGCAAATGCAAGAGATCACAAAGTACGAACCATGTAGGAATTGCATTCATTGTAATATTTATTAATGAGTCATAATACCCGAAAAAAAATCCTTCTTGAACATAATCATAACATAAGAGAGTAACCGCTAAGCTTCACTTCAATGAAAGTTCATGCTCTCCATAGTTAATTGATGATGACACATCGCTTGTACATGTTTGGACAAGTATATAATTTAAACTCTTCATTGTTTTCACATGTAAATTGTCAATTAATGATTAGAAAAAAGTGATTATTGTTGAACAATCAAATACAACAAGATTTTGCTTATAAACTGGTTGTAGCCAGGTCCAGTCACTCGTAGTTTTCCGACAAAAACATAAAACCGCTCCACTAGTTTTCAAAAGAGTTAGTAGCAGTACATAAATAATCAAGAACAATTGGGATGATGTACCACCCCAAGTCACAGATGTAGATTAAGTAGCTACTTTGGCCAATAAACAGCCCAATTGCCCCCGGGTAGACACCGACACAATCGACTAAAGCTTAGCAACAACGTTTGCTCACTTACTGGTAAATTCATGGTCTGCACGTAATCGTAATCAATTCTTTAATACTGGTTCCGCACGTACTATGTAGTTGAAATCGCTAACAATTACACCCCAAATCCCGGTAAGGTGCCCCGGTGATTTTGTCTTATGCATTCAAGTACCACTACCGTACATGTAATAGCATTACGCTCATCCCACCCCCAAAACTTCACAAAAGACAACAAGATTCAGTTTCCGAACCATAAATAAAACCTCCAAGACCCTAAATTACAAAAACACAAAAAACACGAAAGGACTTGACTAGCAGGTAGTAGTGATAGAATAACTTGCCGGGATCGCATTGCTGGTAGAACTCCTCGAAATCTGCAGAGAAAAAGCCACAAAAAGATACACCAGCGTCAATAAAGATCGCATGTTTGTGAGCAAAGAGAAAGGGGAAGAAGGCGGAAATACCGGTGGTGAGGGCCTTGAGGATGCCGGCTCGACGGCCCTTGATGTCGCGGAAGACCTCCAGCACGCGCGAATTCTGGGCGGCCGATCCACGGTCCATCCCCCCGTTAGATCTCGAAGCTGAGAGGCTTGGGCGAGAGAAGCGCCTCGAGGGGGTTCGCGATGGGAGGGGCGAAGGAGCAACGGTGGGAGGAGACGAGAAATACAAAATATTGTGCGAAAATTAATGAGAAGAAAGAGAGTGAAGGGTGAGAAGGGCGTCGGCTTTTAAAGGGATTCAATCATTTTGTCTGCTCCGCTCGACTACCCGTTCTCTTATTGGGTAGCAACTCAGGGACCCACAGGGTCCCACCATTTAGTAGAACGGAGAGTCAGGTAAAGTAGAGGTGATATATATATTTTTAACTTGCAGCCTTCAGTCACGTGAGCGAGGGTGAAATCGGAATCAGATGCCCAAAAAAAATACCTTCCAATTCTTGTTTAAAGGGTTCTTTTAACGGTCAGACCTCCCAATTATGAGAAACTTGCTTACTATCTCTCTCTATAAACGCCACTAATATATGGAGTAACAAAAAATATTTATATATATTTAAAATTATCACGATCTAAGCCTGGATGGGTAATACTTTTCTACTCGAACTCTCTCATTATGCTCAAATGCTAGATATCAAATATCACAATCCGAATCTGATGAGTTAATTGACCTATCAACTTTATTTGATTTAAATTAATAATAAAAATAATTAAATTGAAGTTAATAATAATATATTTATTAGATCTTTATAAGTCAATTTTAATCTTATGATATGAAGTTCTCTTCTAAGAAGTTATTATGCTTCGGTTTCTTCAGCAGCCCAATATACAAGCCGTATTTTGGTGATCACTAATCATCTTCCATTTTTATCTGTATTAGGCGGATAAGATGGGGTACAAAAGGACAACTCATGTTTGAATGATGGAGGAGGAGAGAGCGACAGGTTTTGACTGGTATGCAAGAAAGGTGGTTTCAAGTCAAACTTACATTTCGCCGAGTGTTCGATTTGATGGCATTGAATTCTGTCGACTTTGACGGAGAAGTTTTCTGCTATGTCGCAGACATAACTACTGTGGGACGAAGCCTTGCAGAGTGGGTTAGAAACACGAGAAAGAAGGAAGAAAGATGACAACAGAAGGCCAAACCGACTCGTCTCTTCAAAGGAAAGGATCGATGGCGATTGGAATCAAGCGATCGAATAGACACACATATCATTCTAGTAGCTGGTCACAGAAACCCATCTTCACTGTACAATTTAGATCATACAGTAACTCCTCCATTAGGAAGAACACCAGAAGCCAAAAGAATAACCTAAAACAATCCCAATAGTCACAAATTGCCACCTGTTGAGATACCATAACCAAGAAAGACTGCTGGATCGAAGAAAGAGGAGACCAAAGCTGTTCTTTCCTGTCGTCACCTCTCGAGTTCGATGGCCCTTAGGCCTTTTCCCGTATGAAGGAAGCTCTCGGACTCCATCAGCTTCTTCTGTGACTCCAAGTCCAAGTCCTGTTCCTCCAGCTCCTCTCGAGCTGCGTCCTTCAGGAGCGGTAGGTACTGCGGCTCTTCGGGGAAGACCTTGGAAAGCCACAGGTAGAGCGCCATGGAGAAGACGGCCATGGCCGCCGTGTACCAGCTGAACTGGAGGTTGACGAGGGACTTGGCACGGTGGAGGGCCTCGTCGCTGCGGCACCGGACGACCATGTGGCCCACCTCCCGGTTCATGAAGCAGCCCTTGGGGATGAGGCTGGGCGTCCACAGCATGAGGCCCATGACGACGAACCAGACGCCCTGGAAGGCGATGCTCGCCGCGCGGACGAAGCTCACGAGGAAGCTCCGGGGGAGGGCGACGCCGAGGAGGGTGGTGGCGAGCGACACCACGATGACGATCTGTAGCAGCCGGTGGTACTGTCCCTCGACGCCCATGTGGTCGGCGGAGTGGAGGTGGAACATGAGCAGCTGCAGCGCGAAGGCTGTCGCGGCGAGGAGCATGGTCATCTCGTCGCGCAGCCTGGGGTTGACGCGGTCGAAGACGATGGCGAAGGAGGCGTAGATGAGGAGGGCGAGGGAGATGGAGGCGTGCTCGAAGTTATGCAGGTGGTTGGGGGGGATGGTGCCGTCGTCGTCGAAGGGCTGGTGCTTCTCCGGGCCGATGACGAGCTCCATGGAGATGGAAGCCAGGCTGCCTAGTATGATGAGGTAGAGCTCCAGGCGCCTGAGCTTGGAGGTGGGGAACCATGGCCGGGAGGTGTAGGCGCCGGGACGCAGGGAGTGCAGCTTGATGTGGTTAAAGAGGTGCCACAGCCCAATCACCAAGAACCCAAAGCCTGGTGCTACATGACCTACCAAAGTTCCCATGATGCCTCCTCAGACACCGCAAGATGGAGTAGAATAACAATAGGGTGGCTTAGGACACTCGTTTTGCTTGGGAGGCAAGATTAAGCTATGGGATCTTTCCTTGTCGTTCGGAGTAAGCTACATCAAGTGCTGCGAGGAAACCCAAGAAGAGAGAGAGGAGGGGTGAAGCTGGGGAAAGCTCGAGGGGGGATTTAAAGTGGAAAAAAAGGGGGAAAAAATTGATCTAGATGGTTCGAGTTGAAAGCTTTGAAGGGAGTTGGGTCGGGGGAGAGGATCTAGATGAACTCCACATGGTTTGACCCCACCATGGTTGTCGATAATGGAGGTGGGAGACGAATGAATTATGATTTTTCTTAATGCAAAAATGATTTATTTTTCCGGTGCTAAGTGATACGCAAAACATTTTTTTTTAGATTATTTTATTTATTTTAATGTTGCATATTTATTTGGAAGGAAAGAGTGGCTATTCCGCCACGCAGCAACAACGAGAGCTTTCTTCTTTCCCACGCAATATAGCGACGGCGTGGTGACCGGGGAGGTATTACGTCAACACACGCCGCCTTCGCCAGGTGTTCGACGAAATGCTTCCGTCCTTTGGGGTGCATCAAATCGGTGTGCCGTCCAACCTCCGGCTTGAAATTGACCAACAGCCGTTCTTTTCTGCCAAGCCAAAAACATATGCAACATGTGTGAGGCATTAACTATTATTAATTAGAAGCAGTAGCCACGACGGAACGCAGACTCTATTGCAGATTTAATAGTTGCCGTTCACATCCAATGTCGTCAGCTGATGAACTGACATCAAACCCACAGGAATTTGCAATGGGTCATGATGCAAGATTTGGATCTACTGCTCCTGCAAATGACTCTAAATCCTTTAGTGGCATTTAATTTGCAATCGGTGGTGATCGAGAAGTATACAAATCAAGGGTTCATAAGTTTATCAGGTTTTTCTTATCCTCACAGACATCTTTTGGAGCTTGCATATTTCGAAAAGGATAAAATCGTATGAGTATGCTCATCGTCCAAAACGGATAATTCCTCACGAACCTATGAATTGCACTAATAGTCGATCGACTAAATTATCCCTTATAAGATTGACATTAGAAGGAAGACCTTATGTTAAAGGTTCTTTTTGAAGCTCACATGTTCTGAAAAGGACAAAATCGTATGAGCATGCCCATCGTCCAAAATGAACAATTCCTCACGAGCAATTCCGAAAAGGACAAAACCAATCAAATTGTCACTTATCAATTAGTACTCATGGATCTAATCACACTACAATCTTGAAGCTCTCTCACACACAACTTGTCATTTTTCATATAAAGTCATTGGTCAATTCTACAATTTCGTTTCAACACATTTGACTAATAATTTAGGGGTTGAATGCTACGAATATTTTGTGTGATAATGACCTAATCATAATCATACGGAGAGAAAACTCTTTCGCTAACACATATTACCGATGACCTAAGCAATTAGGTGGGAATCAATTAGGAGAAGTGACTAATTGCACGGATTAGCATCAGACGAGTAGTGCATAAATATATAAAAAAAAAGCTAAAATATATTTTGCTCTATCTTAGATTTAAAAGACCAAACCGTATAATAGAAATAGGACAAATTAAGCTAAATTTAAACAGGGAATGAAATAAATATATCAGTTATGGCGTGTCAATTGGCTGTATGATTTGTATTCATTGTTAAGCTCATCATATCAGCTTGAAATGGATTGTATTTAATTTCCTCAGTTAATTTAATTTATTTGAAGAACAAAGTTAAACTTATGTGACTTGGTTTCAAATTCCAACCTTGATTACTCTTTCGAATGATAATAATCCGTTCTTTGGTGGTGCTTAACATCTACACGGCAATCAAGTTCAATTTGATCCGATCGGTTGATTTGATGGGTGATTAGGTTGAGTTTAACGTGTTTGAACGGTATAGCATCGGGCAACTCAAAGCGTGCAAGATTAAAGCTACGTTATTGGAATAGAGAGAACAACAGAAGAGGAAGAAACTATGAATCATTGATCGACGATTTAAGTAATTTTAGTCGATTAAATGCTGCAACGGATCAAAGTTTCTAGTAATAATCGACTGTTATGTTTTAGATAAAAGCCTTTGGTTGTAATCAAAGGATTGAATTTGCCAATTTAACGAATAAGGATAATTGCCACTTACCACAAGCAAAAGAACCTCAAATTTACTTGTTGGTCGCTATCTATTGGCACATCAAATTGAGTTTTTTTTTTTTTTTCATCCATTGAAATAGAATGGCTAATTAGATATTATATAATGTAGTTAGGTATTTTTAGTATGTTGGTCCCTATATTTTAAAACGTTGTGTTAACATCGCACGAAAGTGAAATATCTAGATCTATTTATCATAATGTCATCGATTTTAAAAAAAAATATAAAAATAAAACATAAAAAATAATTTTAATGTGGTAGACGACGGTGTCATTAAAGATCGCGGACGACTATTATGAATAAGGAAGGCGGTGACAAGAGGTAAGGGTTGTTCTATATCTGCGTCAATACCAATATAGTTGCCGAGCGACCCTTTCACCACTTTACATCTGTGTTGACGTCGACGCAATTACTAAGCGATCTTCACCTCTCACCGTTGCTCTTTTTATCCACAACAGTCACTAGTAACCTTTAGTGGCATCGTAATTCATCACCTTTAGCTGGAACATTGAAATTACCTTTTTATCTTTTGTTTTCATATTTTTGTTAGTAAAACCGATGTTGTTAGGTACGAGATCAAGAGTAGCACTAGGGGGGGGGGGGCGGGGGGCGGTGTGAATTTGTGCATTGCAGCGGTAAAAACTACGTCGGTTCAAAAAACCTTCGTACGATAAAATCGTTTCCGATGAAAACCGTTTCGTAAAGATAGCTCGAAAGTTTATGCGAGCATAGGCGTAGTAAAAGCACAGTAAGGAGGAGAGGCAGTTTGCTATGAAAGTAAATTACTTAAAATAAATGTAAACCGATTTATAGTGCTTCAGTCGTCATGACCTACATCCACTCTGTCATGACCTATATATATATAATTTGTATTCGAAATATGATATGATAAATTACATCCAAAAAAATAATACTAGGATTAACAAAGGATAAATATTTTATTTAAAATAATTATTGAAATATAAAAAGAAGAGTTTAAGTTATTGTAAGGATATTGTCTAAAACTGATATGGTATATTTTGACATCACCCACGTGGACCAGACAAGCAGACACGATGATGCAGACATGGAACTTCAAGTATAATGTGGCATGCAACACGTGGCTGGCAATCGCTTACCGCCCTCTCCGTATGAATGACATCATCACAGTACAGTCATCTCGAAAAGCTTAGGGCAGCACCGCATGACATCGATCCGTGCAGGTCAATTGGTGCTCGTATAGAAGCTAAAGTCGATCGTAGTTAATTGACCCTGTACGACCAACTCATCCTCGCAGGTATAAAAGCTAACTCTCTTTAATCAGGAGGGGGAGGACTTCGGCGTCCAGGAGTCCAGCGGCGGAGAAATAGGCCACTCACCAAGAGAAAAGATCATGCTCGGGGGACGAGACTTGAACCCGACCTGACCCGACACTCGTCCTCACCATCCGAGTATCCACGATGACAACCTTGTACATCCGAGATTGGATCGAACTGTGCTGACACCTCGACCGTGGCCATGGCGTAAAAGTTCACCAACAAAAACTAATAGAGAAAATATTTATACAGCCCAATCAAATAATTAAGACTTTTATAACTTAAGTTATAATTTGCTTGGAATCATTGTTGGTTACTCTACATGACTAAAATAAAAACATCATTCGTCGCCTGAGAGATTCGAACTCTCGCGGGGAAACCCCATGTACTTAGCAGGCACACGCCTTAACCACTCGGCCAAAGCGACGTTGATGATAAATTGAATCATTATCTGTATTTATGTAATTTTAACTTATCATATAACACAGCCATGCTGCATAAGTTTCTTCAAGTTCGCTGTTTGCTACAAGAGACAATAACCAAATCCAAATATGTTCTCCAAAACTGAAACTGGACATGACCAACATATATATATGTGTCCACATCTACAGATTATACATGCTCTGCAATGAAGAGATGGTGCATCAAATATGTTTTTGGATCATTTCTCGGACTTCATCGATGATTTGCCATGCTTTGTGGCCTCCAACCACCTCATCCTTCCATTCCTTGTCCTTCCACAGCTGCATGAACCACAACCCTTCCAATTATTTCTCAACATAAATGGGTTTGAAAGACCAACCAAATCATCGTCACACACCTGAATGGTTGGCATTTTCTGGGCAAAGAACAGAAAGATCCATGCACGCAGGAAGAAGATGATGAAACGTTAGTAATCAGCGCAATATTATAAGCTTTCCTCAGAGCGAATAGAGGATTCTTACAGTGGTTGGTTTACTAACCGTGATGTTTCCTCGCTTCACCAATTCCTGAGAGACTTTGTTGACATCCACCAAATAAAATCTGACTCTGGGTATATACAAAATTCCAAATTTACACACGGCCAGATCAACTAATTGTGAATGTAGAGTCGGAGGCCCTAACTCACCTTGGGTCGTATTCTGCAGCAAGCTTCTCAAGCTTGGGCTTCAAGTAGATGCATTTCCTGCACCAAGTCGCCATCCTGACCAAAAACAATCATCAGATTTCACTGCTGCAAGTGTGCGGATTCAGAAATCAGCTCAATTTTTTTCCGCGACATAAGAAGTTAATTCGAGTCCTCTTCCTTGTGAGAGGTCAAGAGAAATATATTCCACTAACCAGTCGACGATAATGACCTGAGAGAGCTCATGGGCTTGCTCGAGGATCTGATCCAGCTCTTCCACTACCGTAATGGCTTCCATCGGCACCGACATCGGTCTCGACGACATTTCCTGCCTGGAAGCCCCCAACTTTACCCCAACCCTCGACCTCTTCTTCCACGTCCTGCTACCCAGAGCCAAGACCACGGCTCCGGCTTTAGCTGCCGCCGAAGCACACCGTCCGTCAAGACCACGGCTACCGAAAACACAACAGTTTGGAGCCAAGACTGCCATTCTGGTGGCCGGGGATTGGAGCTGGGAGGGAAAAAGGCGACGCTTTTGTACGAATCGATAGCCTGAAACCTCCGGTCGGAGCTATTTCGATCGAAGGAAACAAAAAGCTCCAGACTGCCTCTGCTCCTCGTCATGTTGGCGAGGGATATATCGAGAAGAATCGACGGCGGTCAAGTGTTGCTTATCCACAAACGAGGAATGGAGGGAGAGGAGAAAGGGGGATCAGCCGCTTTAAATAACATGGTGTTCCATTGACGGCTACGATCGAGTTATTAATTCCCATTTTACGTTGAGATTCCCATTTTTTTTACGAGGGTCAATTTGCCATATGAATTATCTCTAAATTTCTCTGTTCTTGGGATTTCTCGACCGTCGTCGATCTGCTGCCACATTTCACCATATCTCCCACTCGCACCGTCTGATCGTAATCCTACGGTTGAACTCCTCACATCACCCAATGAATTATCCTATAAGATAGTCCTTCTGGCCCAAAAGTCCGCATCACCTACCCCCCCATCACACACGCATCGAGGACGGTGGAGTAGTGGAAGGGAGTAGAAGCGATCAAGATATGAGTCCTTCCAAGACGATTCGGCGGTTGGAGGTGGTCTCGCCGGTGCCGGCCGACATTGACATCGCCAACTCCGTCGATCCCTTCCCCATCGCCGCCATCGCCGAGGACCTCAACCTCGGATCCAAGCACTACGACCTCTACGGCAAATACAAAGCCAAGGTCCGCCGAATGACTCCATCCTTGTTGTTCGATTAGTCGTCTTCTTCTTTTGGGTTGGTGAGTTATGTGGGTCTTCTCGAGTGTTCTTTCTGTTCTCTTCAGGTGCTGTTGTCGGTGCTCGACGACCTTCAGGGATCGGAGGATGGGTACTACGTGGTGGTCGGTGGGATCAGTCCAACGCCGCTCGGAGAAGGGAAGTCGACCACCACGGTGGGGCTCTGCCAAGCTCTGGGAGCTTTCCTTGACAAAAAGGTGACGCCTTGGAGCTCTCATGTAGTTGTGTAGTCTTTTATTGACAAATTGGTTCCGCTTTTCTTGGATTCTCGTTGCCACTCCAGATGTTGAGGGTTTACTATATGAAACACGCTGCAATTGAACAAATGCGTCATATGCGAGTTTATACAATTAGTTATTGGGTTTGAATTGAATTGGATCGCTTCTTAATTCGCCGTCGATTTGCCTGAGGTGTGAAAGAACTGCAAAATATACAGCAGATCTAAGTACCTTTCTTATCTTATTGTGGATTTGAGGGACTGAGTTTGCTTGTTCTTATTGGTATATTCGTAACAGAGAGAAAATAGTCTTCTATTACATCTGGATCTGAATAGCTGGACTTTTGCTTGCCAGCCATTATTCTTTGTTTGATTTTCTTGATTATCTATTTCACACAAAAAGAAATATTTTGCAAATGTGAATTACCTTTTAAATTAGATGCTAACTTATATCGGATGATACTCTACTTGGAAAAACTAAGTGTAGATTGTGCAGAGTATGTGAACATTTTGGAGATTTTAAACCATTGATGGTGGTTCCATAAATTTTTGGTATCCTGTAAAAAGAAGTGATCACTTTAGGTTACAAGCTATGTGCTTTGGCAGTGCTGGAACTACTTGCATCTACACAGATTGTTGGAGATGAGAATGCTTCCAATGCACATACTATGCTCGAAGAAAGAAAGTTCACCTGAATCCACATGAATCAATATTGTGGTCATATGCAGCTGTAATTATATTCCATTATTTTATAGTCGGCCAAGCACTTTTTAGTCTTTCTTTCATATGCTATAATCTTTATCATAACATCGTAGTATGGTAGTTGTTTGAGGGCCAATGTTACGATTGTGCAGATTTTATCTCTTCGAGTGACACAATAATTGATCAGGCAGTTAATACAAACAGAGCTTCACAAAATATGATCTCTAATCAATATTCTACCAGAGATAGTAGATTCTACTTGATTATAAAGGAGGTAAAATTAAGGATCATGACCAATGAAATGGCTTGTTTCCTCAGTCAAGTGTTGTTAAGCATGGAAGAAAGCTTCGTGCAATATGTAGGATTGCATATTAATACTTTTAGGCAAGGAAATGATTCACAGTGATTCTAATATGCACTTCTATTATTTGTTTGCTTAGTTTTTTTTTCTTGTTGAAATTGGTTTGTAGTATGAAGTGAAGAATGATGTACACTTGGATATTGATGAATGGAATGAACGGTTTCATTTTATTTACATGCAAGGCTGTCTTTATCCTCCTAGAGCAAGTTTCCAGGATTTGAATGAGTCCAAGAATATCACTCTTCCTATTTCATGATTCCTTATCCCTGTTCTTTTTTTTTTATCCTTTAAACATCTTCAGGTCATCAAACAACTCCAGCCACATGCTACCTACACAAATTTCCTCTTTAAATTCCTTTTCTTTCTCCTTTTTATCCTAAATGCTTCTAACTCATTTAGACCATTCAAATTAAAGAGCAACAGCAGGCTTATATGATTTGTTGTATTTATGTTGCGAATACCACTGAATTTAATTTAAATTATTGCACGCTGTTATGCAGTGGAATAATTGGTAGTTTGCTACAGATTAAAGGTGTGTGTTTCTGCAGATTACAAGTATTCCATTGTTCTCATTGTGCTAAAGATGCCACTGTAGGAAAACAAGAAGTTTAGTCAATCTTCTATTTTCATTATTTGAAGTGATAGTATGAGTTACAGACAAGGTTTAATAAACTGGCTGTTCTTTTTTATAATTGGCCGGTTCCACATTCCACATCCTCCTGATTCTGGTTCTAATTTTTGCCCTTCTATTTGCTGTTACACAGTCCAGCCATTATTTTTTGTCAAAGTAGCTTGAACAACACCTAATTTTTCTCAACATGGATCCATTATCCCCATGTGTAAATTCTGAAGCACGAGGTTGAGCCAATTAGGTTGAGCTTTGATTTTTCATTTGATAATGATGAGCTGATTCAGGACATAAATTATGGTGGTGTAGTAATTTGATGTTTGGTTATCTTATTTATCCCTGTCTTGAGTTTGTCTTTTCTATTAGACTTGACATTTTTATGATGCTATTATTAGTTTTGATTTAAAATGTTCAAGTTTTAATTGTTGATTATAAATAGATCTGTTTCAATTGAGGTGGGTTGGTCTCAGCCTTGGCTGATCTAAAACCATCATAATTGCAGAGTTTCATCCCTTTTCAGCCCAAAACACGAGTTTCAGTTGAAATTACTGTATACCATCTTAGTAAATTACATCACCTGATAACTGTATGTGGTACTTATGATCTTAAGACATACATGATTGGCAATAATTTACTATGAATTATTTTTATTAGCATTTGTAGTTTGATACTGGTTCCATGATCTTTGTTATTGTGATCATTCACTATGGCTCACTGTATCTTGCAGTTAGAAGATCTGTATTCTATAGATGCATGATATATCATCTTACAAGTATAAAATGCATAATTTTAATAAGATGTATGGTCATAAGATAATTCTGGTGGAATGCATGTAATTTCTTAAAGTTTTAAACAGATCTCTCTAAACTATTAATGGACTTGGCAGAGCAACAAAAAAATATTGAGCAGCTGTTTGAAATAAAATTATTTATTGAACAAAAAATTATTTCATCAGAAACCATGTGTTAGTATTGTTATCAATTCTTTAATTAAGATATATAATGCTTTTTGAAAATAATTTTCAGCTGAAACTGCCTCAAGCTTTGAGATACTTGAAGCAGCTGAGATCACTGAATCTGAACTCGTAAGGTCTTGGCTGAGTTGCAAACTCATGGTTGAAACTGAAACTGCATAACATCATAAGCCTTGGACCTAAGTCATTATTGCAATTTTTTCATAAGTCATGTTTGAATTGGTTAAAGAGAGGGCTCGTAAACATGAACTGTGATATCTTGATTTGCTTACAGAAACTGACTGATCACGAGGCAACAAATTATGTGACAACTGCCTGCATTTATCTCTCATACTTTGTTACTGACCCTTACCTATGTTAATTTGGGCCTTCTGACATCTTCATGGCATATGTAGTAACTATTGTACACATTTGATGACATTGATTTCTATAGGTCTTGATCGCTTCAGACCTTGAAGATTTAGAGTGTAATGTAGTTTAATGGTTGGGCCATTTAACATTAATATAGTGGCTATTTCTTTGTAACCTTTAGATGTTGATAATTGTATTAACCCATTGAAAGATGAAAAATATGTGATATTCCTCTAAAATAAGACACTATGATGAATATGTTTTTAGGGGATTATATGCATGAATTTAGCATAAATGAACTAGTTTTTTTTATATACAACCCTTACTAAGATACTTATTGAAATTTGGAGGGATGGTACATATATTTTCTTTTCATTGGATAATTCTTGAGATTGGATCTTTTGTAAGGGTATGCAAGCAATTTTTGTCCACATAGAAAGCTCGAGAAAGTCACATCTCAAGCACAAATTCCAAAATTTAAATGGATAATGATGCCCTTATATTTTGTTTTATAATTTATTCATTATTCCAGGCCTTCTGAAAGTGGTTGCTCTGGTGAAGTCTTTGGTATTTTACCTTGTGGCTGTAAAATTCAATCATCTGAGTCGCCTTAATCATCGAGTCACCTTGACACCTACACTTGATAGGACTCATGTTTGTGAGCTATAATTGTTCTCTATGACAGAATATCATCGTAAGAAAAGAAAACATTATTTTGTGCTGTCTTCCACAGGTTATATGTGCTACAGTTACATCTTAAATTGTTCAGATCCTAAGTGTGGCTGATATTGCTGCAGCTGTTTGAAAAGCTAATGCTGCAATCTCTATAATCCTCTTCTTTGATAGAACTTTCTCTTTCCATGCTATAGGTGCATTTTTCTAATATTACTCAGCAGATGCTTGCTCCAAGAATAAGCTACTAGTTGTCTTTATAGACAATTTTTATGCAATTGTTAATCAGAACAGAATGAGTTTCTAAGTTGCTTTGATTATTCTGGATTATACTAGTTTAAACTTAAAGAAAAAGAATTCATTAGAAATGGATCAGGTGGCTTAAATTATGGATTCATCAAAAAGACAAAAAAAAGATGTTAATTTTATTCCTTCATGTGCTTCTACGATCACACTTATCCTGGTCAGTGTCTGCTATTGATATTGTCTGATAGTGTTGCTTCAAATATGATCCTCTTGCCATGATAAAACATTGTCACCTTCAATAGCCATTCTTGTTTTGTAAGATCATTTGTTTTATAAACTTAATTTACTTTTGTCTCTCTCTAATCAGGTTGTCACTTGTCTCCGTCAACCATCACAAGGGCCAACTTTTGGAATAAAAGGGGGTGCTGCTGGAGGTGGTTACAGTCAGGTTATCCCTATGGATGAGTTCAATCTTCATCTAACAGGAGATATTCATGCAATCACAGCTGCAAATAATCTTCTTGCTGCTGCTATAGATACCCGGATATTCCATGAGGCATCTCAGTCAGACAAAGCTCTGTTTAATAGATTATGCCCACCAAATAAAGAAGGGAAACGAACCTTTGCCAATGTTATGTTCAGGCGTCTACAAAAGCTCAGTATTTCAAAGACCAATCCAGATGAGCTTACGCCTGATGAAGTCAAAAGATTTGTTAGGCTTGATATTGACCCAGATTCCATTACCTGGAGAAGGGTCATGGATGTCAATGACCGATTCCTAAGAAAAATTACAGTTGGACAAGGTCCTGAGGAGAAGGGGATGATCAGAGACACAGGGTTTGATATTGCAGTGGCTAGTGAAATCATGGCTGTATTAGCTCTTACTACCTCTCTTGCAGAAATGAGGGAAAGGCTTGGAAGAATGGTAATAGGCAACAGCAATGCTGGTGAACCAATAACCGCAGATGATCTAGGTGTTGGAGGTGCTTTAACTGTACTAATGAAAGATGCCATCAACCCTACCCTAATGCAGACTCTTGAGGGAACTCCTGTCCTTGTTCATGCTGGACCTTTTGCCAATATTGCTCATGGAAATTCTTCAATAGTGGCTGATAAAATTGCCCTTAAGCTGGTTGGAAAGGGTGGCTTTGTAGTCACAGAGGCAGGTTTCGGTTCTGATATTGGCACAGAAAAGTTCATGAATATAAAATGCAGGTACAGTGGCTTGGTGCCACAATGTGCTATTATTGTGGCAACTATAAGAGCCCTTAAAATGCACGGGGGTGGACCTGAAGTTGTTGCTGGAAAGCCCCTGGACCGTGCTTACATAACTGAAAATGTTGCCCTTGTTGAGGCTGGTTGTGTAAACCTTTCTAGACATATTTCAAATACTAAGGCATATGGAGTGAACGTTGTAGTTGCGATCAATAAATTTGCAACCGATACTGATGCTGAGATGAATGCAGTTAGAACTGCAGCTTTAGCAGCTGGTGCTTTTGATGCTGTTGTATGCACTCATCATGCCCATGGCGGAAAAGGAGCGGTTTGTACTAACTTATCATCTTTGTTGTCCTTTTCTGGTTTGGTCTCTCTATATTGTATAAATGCTCAAAAAGCTAGTTTGATAGCATTGTTAAATTTTTTTGAAGGAACAGTCTTGTTTACGACTGTGCTAATTGAAATATTAAGTGGCTTCTGATAGGTTTCCCATTATAATTTCAGGCATGAAATTATAGATGTTTTACGTAAGCCTGTTGTTTCTTTCTCCACAAACTTACTCTAGACTCCAATTTCTGTTCCACATGCTTCCTGTGTACTTCTCCTTGCTGTTTCTTGCATCTTTTTTCTGTCTAAATTATCAATTACTTAACAGTGTTGTATGATTGCATATCATAACCTCTTTTCCACAATCATTTATATAACATTTCCGGTGGAGCTTTGGTGATCAGGATTGCTTTGTGCACCTTTAATTTTGAAGTACTAAATAAAGCACTTATCCATGTACCATCTTTAGCAACCACTTCATCTCATTTCACATGATCATACCATCATCAATTTAATTTCCCAAATGTTTGGTCGTGTCACCTTGTGCTTTCAGTTGCTTATACGACTAATCTTGTGTCTGGTATATTAAATTCATTTCCCTCATTTCTCTTGCTCATGTATCAGCATCGTTAGAGTTTAATGTAATGTTATCTAAGTTCTCATTCTCATCGCCATTTCCAAAATGTCCAGGTTGACCTTGGGACTGCAGTTCAAAGAGCATGTGAAAGTCAATCACAGACGTTGAACTTCTTATATCCTCTGGACATTGGTATAAAGGAGAAGATCGAGGCGATTGCCAAGTCATATGGTGCCTCTGGTGTTGAGTACTCCGAACAGGTAATCCTTTTTCGATCCTATTATTCCCTAGTAATTACAATTGCTGGAACCATAATTGTAGAGGCAAAGGTGAGAATCTCCACATAAAAAACTAAGTTTACTAATTGTTTTAGTAAACTTATGGACCATGTTACCATAGCTCCACATCTGACAGTTGAATGTTAGTCCTTGTTAACTGGACATAGGAATTAAAGTTTTTTATCAGATCAATGCCATGCACGTTACTTTTGGGTTTCAAGTTCTTGAGAATCCTTGCTGACACGGTTATTGCTTTCATCGAAGGCGGAGAAGCAGATTAAGATGTACAGTAAGCAAGGGTTTTCTGGTTTACCAATTTGCATGGCGAAAACCCAGTACTCATTCTCGCACATCCCATCTCAAAAGGGTGCTCCAAGTGGATTTGTGCTTCCGATCAGAGATGTGAGGGCTAGCATCGGGGCTGGTTTCATATATCCTCTGGTAGGAACAATGAGTACGATGCCCGGCCTTCCAACTCGACCTTGTTTCTTCGACATTGACATTGATATCGCTACGGGGAAAGTCCTTGGCCTCTCCTAGAATGTCATGTAAGTTTATATTTCCCGATTGTTGTTTCCTTAGTTCAAGTCCCAGCGTAAAAAGAGTCCAAGAAAGTTGAAGAACATTCGCTTCATTAAACTTGGGATGCGTCAAATAACTGCTACAATGTACGAATAATCCAATCCAAGGTTTCTTTCTGTTTGTGCTGTTTTAACATATATCAGTGTGCCTCATCTGTTTTCTTTGGTTTCTACTGTCAGGATGGTGCTATACATAAAGAGTACAATATTCCAAGTTGCCTTTTGGATGCAATAAGATTTCAGAAATTTCATTGATCATTGATTAATACTGCTGAATTGTATCAAAGTTGATTTCTTTCTTTCCATTAATATATATGGAAAGAATATCCAAAGCAAAAAATATATATGCTTTATAATCTTTAATTTGTCAAAGACTCTTCAAACTGGGGTGATGTATCATAACAGCTAGTCATGGCCTGAGACCACTTGGGAGTTCTCATTCTCTCGTCCGGTGTGTCGCTGTTTCATGTCGGGAAGTAAATGAAACGCCAGTAGATAAAGATAGTATTGGTCTCTATGTCTTTGCATGTGGTGTGTGGGGCCCTACAGGACCACTTAACTATAGTTGTTGAAGTGCTACTTTGGACAACCGATAACCATCGACTTTTTCATGTGCCCGTCACCTTCTCAATCCCTCTCTCTCTCTCTCTCTCTCTCTCTCTCTCTCTCTCT